ATATTAAATAATTGGCCTTATTTGTATCGATGTCAAAATGCAGAATGGGTTATAAAATTGAATTATCTATGTGATTATAGCCTATAGGCTATAGGTAAGTATTTTAAAGATAACCATAATTATTGTATAACACTTTTGTGCATTATAGTTGTGCAATAATTATGCATAATACATGTCAAATACAAACATTGCAATGAATCTTAGTATGACAAAAATAAATATTGTAAGGGTAAAAAAAAGATAAATGATGAAATCAATTTAATAAATATGTAGATATTTGGAAGGTACTCATGGCATATTATATTGTATAGACGTATAGTTTTAACTTAAAAAGTGACACTAATCAATCTATAATAAAATTGATGTACAAACAATTCAATAAATGTTATTAACTTTTATAGTTTTATGAAGATGGATAACATTAATTTTACCTGTAGATATTATTAATACATGATAATATATGAAATATTACCTATTCAAATTAATGAAAATGTTATGAAAAGTTATATGTTTAAAACATTTATTTAAAACATAATATACTAGTCCATATTCTACGAATATACTTATTATTTATATACTAAACTTCTTAATCCATAGAGCAAATCAGATTTTCAATTAAAATCTTAACTCACTCAGTCTCTCATAGTCTCATGATTATTATAAATGTATAAATAAATTGTCATAAATTAATAAGTACTATGAATCTTAAAACATTATTTTATTTTGCTGTAGAAAATTTAATTTATATATTTAATCAAAAAATTTATAATATTCCTATTTATTATCCATTATCAAAGATTTAAATGTTTTAATTGATATTATACTATACAAAATATGACTCGAAATCCTTCAATATCTTATTAGTATTATAGACAATTTTTCAGAATTATGATTCTAGTAATATGATTACAAGTAAATAGTAATGTAATTTTCTTTTAAACATAAGTAAGTATTTTATGAAGTCTATCCACGAGTTACTACTAATACAACTATAATCAAATTCTAAGACCAATATAATTATATTTTAAGGTACTGCGTTTTGAAGTATGAAACTAAATGAAAATATTTAATATTACACTGAATATTTTTAATATTTGATTTTCAAAAAGATGATTTTGGTTAATAATTTCATATTCTATGCAATAAAATATTAAATTATTTTTAATCATGTACAAGTTTTTGCATATCCAAAGGTTTTAAATTTTATCCTTCCAATATCTAGTACTTTTCATGGAAAAATGGATGATACCGTATCGGCTCTCAGCAGGTTCTAATGAATCCGTATCGGCTTCGGGTGTTTGACCATTCTGTCGGTTTAATGGCCATATTGCGTCCCATTTGTGAACGTAAACCATATTATTAATATTAAAAGTTTGAGTATTATTATTATCAATTATTATGCTTATATTATATAATATATTATTATAATATATACATTGCAATTTTGGAGATATCTACCCTTTGTTGATATTTGATTATTTATTATAACTTTAACGCGTATATTATATTTCTTGATGTTGTTATTTCGAGTATTCGAGCAATCGGCGTAACATAGTCTATGTATACTATTTTAATATTACTCAGACTGTAAGTGCAAGCCATTGGGGCTAACTGTTCATTAAGAGCGCTTCTGGCGAACATATCCGTAGTCAGTCCTCAGCCTTTAAATGGGAAGAAAAATGTTAATTATGAGCCAATACGGCCACTTTCAAATTAATAGTGGGAGACAAAGTGGACAAATAGGAGCCGATGTGGGTACTTTGCATTTCATATAGTACTTGGATATAAGTGATATGTTTATTCGTTGACTATCAATTTTTAGACGAGAAATTAGATTCCAGGTATCCAGGAATGAGGTCACTGATAATTTAATAGTGGAACGTGGAACTATTTAATTTTAATAGGTACTCAACGTAAATAATAATATATTTTATTCGTTGTTATTTATTAATTAATAGCTATAGCTGAATGGCCTGAATAGAGATAATATTATATAATTAATAAGCAAAAGAGTCTCATCTTGAAATCAATCTATTCACGAAAAGTTGTTTATCTCATAAAATAAAGTAATTATGACTTTCATATAAATTAAGTATATTTATAGATACATAATTATTTATAATACTCTGCAACTTGTTTTGGTGTATTTTAATGAGCCATAGCTATATAAATAAATATTTCGAATACTTTGTTAAACAATAATTCGTAGTTATCGGTTATAAGAAGTGCTCAAGTTGGGAAAAAATAGTAAAAGGGATCAACTTAGTGATTTAAAAATTACGTTTTAAGTGCAAAAATATTTAACACAAACTTGTGGGAGGCTTAACCTTCACAACTCTCTTCCACGATAAGATTTATTTAAAAAAAAAATATATTTTAGTTATATATATTTAAATTCCAAGTATAATCTATGTAAGTGAATGTAAATTGAAGTACACTTAATTTTCTCAAATTTTCACAATACATTTCATATATTCAGATACTTGAAATGACAATTTTTTTTAAATAATTAAAACACCCATAATAATAGTAATACCAATTACTATTAATATGAGCTGTAATGTATTATATTGTAGTAAAAAAAAAAAAAATAATAAAATGAAATAATAATAATTATCAACATTTTGAAAACATGAAAAAGATAATACTAAGTTAATAATTTTATTATTGTTTTTGACTCAGAGTGACCACATATTTTGAAAAGTATGTTCTTCATCATTTATATTTCTTATTTTTATAACAATAAATAAATAACAACTGAAAAATTATGATGAATAAAAAATAAAATAAAACAAATGACTCAAAATTCGAATAGGATTCGAAAATTTCAAAAACAACAATAAATATTAAGTGAAAACCCTAACAGTGATAATGCAAAGTGTTTATAAAGTTTTAACTAATTATTTACTGTATCGAAATTCGTTTTATATGTATTATGTATATTGAAATACTCTGAAAAAAATTCTGTTGACATATGAATATATATCTACGTTGTTTTGCATAATAGTAATAAATTAAAAAATAATAACAATTATACGTAAATTATAAAAAACCATAATTATTTTTCAAACATTATTTTTTAAAATAATATCATATAAATACATAATGTAAAAATGTTTAAACTGTTTGAAATAATGAAAGTGTATACTTAAAACGGATCATTCACACTCCACAGTATATTCTAATAAACAAACTATTAATATTTTCTCCCAAAAAGTCTTAAACTATTTTTACATTTTTTTTATTTATTACATAAAATATGTGCAACACTTTCAAAATGTTTACTCAGGCTAAACATTTTTAAAGCAGCATTGAAAAATTTGAACTTTAGTGTAAGTGATTGATAATATATCAAACGTATTAATTAAATCAGAAAACGAAAACATAAAATATGTGAAATAAATAAAAACAAAAATTAATATGGTAACTTTATTGTACATGGTGACGCTATCGAGTGGCGACTCTATCCTGTTCATCAATTAGAAAAATTTCAAAATAACGGCAATAGATAGCGCTGCCATTATTGTCCAGACGCATCGACGTATCACTTGTGTACTATAACATTATTTATATTATATACATTATACATATATTATATTATGTGTATTTATATGTATAGTGTATTGTTTAAGCGTTGTAAATGTAGGCATGGACGTCCCTAGGGGGGGGCACGATGGGGCACTTCCCCCCTCCAAGGAATTTTAATTTTGTTTCCTAATTGTAATAATTTAACATTATACTGACGAAACATAATAATGTTCTATAAATAATATGTATAAAAATAATACTTAATTGTAATAATGACAAAATATGATAATGCACTATAAATAAAATGTATAAAAAATCTATATTTATTTTTTAAATTAATTTTGCCCCCCTCCCCTAGAAAAATGTCTGGGGTCGCCCATGAGTGTAGGTACTTATTCTTTATGTATCTATTTAACGTATGACAAATTTATTTCAGAAAACTTTTTGAAAATGTTTCTTTTACATGAGTGTGCCGTTATAAAACAAAATTTTTGGAAAAAATTATATTTTTTCTACTTTTATTGTTAAATTTATGTTTTTACTCTTTTGAAAGACAACATGTATTTCTAATTTCATATTTCAAAATAGAATATCATTCAGAGTGTTTCGATCTGTCAAAATAAAATTTCGGAAAAATTATTTATTAACTATAATTTATAAGTTATAACTTATAAGTATTTAAAATTTAGATCAGTGGAGTATTAGACCAATATTTTGAGGGGTACCTCTCCATTCTAACGATTGATCATCAAAACTTTAAATATTTATAATCCATAAACTACTCTTGTGAAATTCAATTTCAAAAGGTGCTGATCAATTATTACACTTCGGTAGTTTACCTAAAAATAATAAAAAGCTAAATATAAAAAAGCTTCTTAAATTTTTAGCGCAGTGCTTCTTTAAGAGACTTACAATTTGGCGCCCGGGGCGATTGCTCCCCCCCCCCCCCCCCCCTAAATTGATGATTTGATGGACATACAAAGTCTTCAAAATTATGTTCAATAATACATTTTTACTATAAGATATTAAAATTAGGAAAATGTGTCATTTACATAAATACAATTTTCCCAATCATAATATATTCTAAATGAATTTGATATTAATTCATTTTTTTTTATTAATTAAAAATGGAGGATTTGATGGATAACTATAAAATTTTAAATATAATTCATCAGAAAACACATCATAGTAAAATTATTACATTTATATTTATCTCTCAACTCAGAAATTAAAATATTAAAGTTAAATTCTAAGGATGTTTTAATTCTTAAAATAACATTGAATAAATTTTTTTTAAGTCTTAAACTTAGATCGTATGTTTCTTATTTATATAATACTTGATTTAAATGTACTATGTATTTTATTTTTACTAAAATAAAAACTTAATTTCATAGATTAAATAAGATATATTAAAATAATAGAAGATTATATAGATAATATAAATGTGCACCTAGTATTTATAACTATCTTTCTTTTGATTTAAATTTTACATTCTATGCACATTAATAGGTATGTAATATATTTCTATATTGTACAAATAATTTCTCCTTTTACTTATGATGTTACACTTTTTTGGTTTAGTATAATAATTTAATTCGAGGATTTGATTTTTCCAATAACGTATTTTATTTTTTCAATAGCCATATCCACGTCCTTTTCGGAAATATCTTTATGCAAAACTAATCTCACGCATCCTTTGTATAAATATGATATTCTAACAGACGTTAAATTGATTTCACTCGGAATATTATCGTCTTCGTTGTCTACCTATATTATATAAATAACACAAAATATGCATAAATAATATATATTAATTTAACTACAAACTAGAAATAATTTTTAAATACTACTGAATATTTACAATATTAAAATTAATTTAAGTTAAGTCATTTCAATTTTTAATAAAGAGGTGAAAAAGTTTTAACAAGCCCATAGATAATATGAATAGGGACCTTCACATAAAAAACACACACTCCACTTACATACACATCATAATATATATACGTATGCTTACACGTCTAACGTTTATATATTCCAAGTTCCAAATAATAAATATTAGTTTGTTATAATAATTTTCTCATTATACAATTTTATATTTCTTTAAAATTATAAAAATATAGGAGTAAACATCTACTTTTTTTCACTTCCTACCGCCCCCAAATTATGCTATTATTTACTGATTTACCTTCAACAGCATGTTGTAGAAGTCAGGTGAACTGATCTTTGAATTGTTTAACTTTACAATCAGTATATTGGTATCAACTTTTTCAAGGTTAACGGTCACATCAGGACTGGCCATTTGATGAATAGCTGAAAATAAAAACTGTTTAGTTTTACTGTCACCACTAAATATTGGTTTGAAATGAAAAATGATAAATAATTAAAAACATAGAACTTTAAATATTAAAACCTAAAAATGCAACATCATCTAACAAGTTTGTCATCTAAGCTTCAAATTCTTACTAATAAAATTAAACTGTTAGGCAGTTCAATACTTGACGTAATATATTGTACACGTTACATCAATTCAAAAAACAATTAATACTTTGCTTCCAATAAACTATTGAATCAATAAAATATAGGTCTCGATATTTCAATTTTGAAAGTGGATAGATAGATTTGACAACAAATAGATTATGATAAAAATAAAGATCGGGTGCCAATATAAATAATAATATCTATTAGAATTCCACAAAACCTCCATTATCCAGAAAAGGTTAAAATATTTGAAACAATGAGTGTTCACAAAATCTAAAATGTATCTTCCTGTATTTATATTGATATATTATAAAATATTTTCTAACTTAAACTATTTAGCATTGAAGACAATATTATGATGATTGTTGGGTTACTGCTATACTGTCTACTCATTAATATACTATAATATGATATGCTTGGTACTAGATCTAAATTTTAATATGCTTATATTAGCTGCATTTCTTTAGTACCCTGTGGCTCGTGTTTGTGTCAAGTAGTAAAACGAGTCTGATTCTATTGTTATACGTACATTTTAAAACACAAATACAAAATTATATACCATTCCCGATTTTCTTGGCGTGCCAGTGATCCACGGCCAGTCTTTCCACACAATTATCTAAGGCGTATACTCCAGCTGCGGCCACGATCCCGGCTTGGCGCATAGACCCACCCAAGGATTTCCTAATTCTTCGGCATCTAAATTAGGACAACGGACATTTAAAACAATACTATTGTTTCCAGTAAAGATTTAAAAATTAATGGGACACGGATACATTACTTTTCGATAAACATTTTATTGCCTAGCAAAACTGCACCAATTGGTGCCCCGAGTCCTTTACTTAAACAGAACGTCACGGAATCGCAGTGTTCAGATATTCGACTGACAGGAACACCAAGGTGTACGGCTGCGTTAAATATTCGAGCTCCGTCCATGTGCAAAGGTATGTCTTTTTCCTTAGCAAATTTTCCTAGCTAAACAAATATCAAATAAATGATTAGACCGTTCAATACGTTTAAGTGTGCTTGATTTTATAATATTATACTATGTTTTATAATTTTTATTATAAATATGCACCTTACCATGAAGTTATTCAAGTAAATTTTTGTGCAGATATTAAAGATTTGAATGAACAAATGTGTTACTCTTAATTAGGTTCTAACATATAAGGTACACGTGAAATAACATTCTAAATACTATACAAGCAAAAAGCCTGAAAAATCTAAGATTTGAATTTGGTTAAAATTGTTTAGTTTAATAAATCTACTCATTCTTTATTTAATGTTATGTATAAAGTTTACGCCTAACGGATTTTTAATATAATAATTTTAACAGTACTATGAACTTAACATAACACTAAATAACAATTCAAATATTATTGTAATAATATATAATAGATACATAAAACATAATATTTAATAATTCACACATAGTAGTAATTATGTCATTTTCTCCACATGCATGATCATAATAGCTGTTTATTAACCTTTTTTTTAATGTTAAAAAATTACCATTGTTCGTAATCTACTTGCTCAAATTATTATATTATTTCTAATAACTATTATATAATTATAAAATTTTTCTTAAATAAAATTTAAATTTGAAAAAATAGAATACCGTATTAGATAATGTATGAAAAACTCAAAGTAAGAACAATATATTTTTTAAATATAATTTAGTTTAAATAATGGAAATTATTCAAACTTAGATTTTTTTTCTGTTTAAGTTAAAGTAAACGACTTCTGTTTTTAAATAAAAAATTGATTAAATATTTGAGCTGTGTTTTTCATTTCTATAGGCTATAGTCATGATATAATTAAAATTTAAAAAACTAAAAACAAAAAAAAAAATACTAATTAAACTATAAAAATGAAGGAGTTATAGAAGTAGATACGTAGTTTAAAAATTATAAAAAAATTAAAAATGAATTATATTTTATTTTACTTGATCAAGCCACTCAAGAGGAACTACTACACCACCAAGATAGTTATGAGTGTTTTCTATACAAATTAATGACGTATAAGATTCGTAATCACATGGGTTTGACGGTCGACATTTATCTTTTAATTCTGACATATCAAATGAACCATCTGGCAAATTTCTGACTTCTCTCATTTGCAAACCTGCAAACTAATCAATGAAAATATTTAAATTAATATTGCTAAAAAAACTATCAAACTAATTAAACATTTAACCTGTGCAGCTCCACTTTGTTCCCATAATAAAATGTGACTTTTGTCACCAACAATTACTTCACATCCTCGTTGATTTTTTATGTGAGCCATCACTGAAATGTAAGTATTTTTTAAAAAAATATCATGTTTTATTTCACACTTATGATTCTGTTTCATAAATTGGTAAATAAATTTATATTGCTTTATAAATATGTAAGCTACTAAATATTACTCAATTATCGTGCAAAAATCAAAAATAAAAAAAAGAGAATATTATGTTAATCAACTCCAATATATTACTCCAAAGGTACGTTAATACAGTTACTAAAATAATAAAATACACAGAATGATTCTTTTATTAAAGAACATTCATTATTTCAAAATCTATCAATGTTTTTAAAAATATTTTTTTTTTTTTATGTAATTTTCAGTTGAAATAAAACATATTTTATAAAACAATATATTTTTAATTATTTTTATTGTTATAAATTTTAAATTTCTTATATTTTTTTGAATGATAATATACATAATAAATTTCATATTTTGAAACACAATATTTTTTTGTAGTATTTCGATATTTAAAAATTGAAATTTGGACGAATAATCTTTGAGTTACTAGTAATTAAAATTATGTGTATGCGCGGAGTGGAGTGGTACAGGAATACCCTGCAAAATGTTGGATTTCTGCTCCATTAAATCTAAGCTTTAAATACTTATAACTCATAAGCTACTACAACGAAATACTCTAAAAAATAATCTACTTCAAAAAAATGTGATGTAATTTACAAAAGTAAAAAACTTAAAACTATAACAATAAAAAAATTAAAATACATATTTTTTTTTTTAATATTATTTTTATTTTGACTGGAAATTATGTAAAAAAAAAATATTTTCATAACGTTAATAGATTTTGAAAATTTTAAATAATTAGTGTTGTTTAATAAAATAATTACTCAGTACATAAACAGAGATGAATCTTTAATATCACAAAATATTGTCATTAGAAGTATTCATATTGGTTAATCAAAACAAGTAGAAAAATATGAAAAAATGTCTGATGATAACTGAAAAATAACCTTTGGATAACTTTCATTTTTCATGTAAAATAATGAAATTGACCGAACAATAATGTGAGAATTATCTTTACCACAATGATGCTACAGTAATGACAATCAAACATGTCAATTTTTCTCAAGTTATATATACATATATCAGTTAGTTATATATATATGTTTTAATAATTACTATTGATATTATTAAAAAAACACTAGATATTTTATTTACACAATTATTATATCATTAACATAAAATATCCAAATAATTAAAACATAAAATTGTGTTAGAAATTACAGAGTTTTAAAAACTAAATATGTTTCTATAAATATTTTTAAACGTTATTCATAATAAAAATATAAATTACTTGCGACTAAATTCCCCATGAGGCCACTTGGAACAAATAATGCTGCTTCTTTTCCAAAAAGTGTTGATGATTTATCTTCCAATACTATATTTTTTAAAAAACAAAGTCAATTGTATATTTATTAAATTATAAAAAGTATTAGAGTATCCAAGTGTATGATTTACTACAAAAACGATAATTTATATACCTATCCTAGTTTGAGGGGGTTATTTGAATTTTTTTAATGTTTTTTTTTTTTTTTTTTTTTTTTTTTTTTAATTTGTATACGTGTAAATAGCATTCATAACTTTATTTAAAAACAAAATATTTTAAAAAAACTTAAAAATTATAATAATATAATAATTACCTATCTGTACATCCTGACTTCACTCAGAAAAAAATACGGAACTTTATCAGTGTATCTCGATTTTAGTGTTTCAGGTCACGGGTATGTTTGCATCAGTATATTTCACTTTGTTAACTAATTCGACAAAGATGAGCAATAATTCATCTATGGCACTTGGTATATTTTTGGATGTAGTTAAAACTACTTTCTAAACTTTCCTGGTATCTCTAAGAATAATCACTGAAACTCTCATGAAAATCGATTGTGTTGTTTATTTAAGCTTAATGTAAGCTACAGGCATATAAGGATATTGCATTTATTGTACATTTAAATGAGAATAAATTAAAAATAATTTTCATTTGTTAAAAAAAAAAAAAATATTATAATAACGCATAATAGTAGTTCGATTAGATAATACTATTTTTTTTTTAAATTCTATATTTGTGACAATAATGGCAACCTATATATAAACAATTATTCAATTTATCAAAATTAAAAATTTAAATGAAATTTAAAAGTAAGTAACCCTATACCAACCTATAGGAGTTAAATAATTAAGTTTAAATCACTATTAGGAATCTATTGATATAACTTTAATTGAAATCGGTTCAGAGATTTCTAAAATAAGTGCATTCATACCAACAAATTCTGTATTTTTATAATTCTATGGCACAGTTATACTTATAAATATGATTATTTATTTATTGTTTCGTTGGAAATTTATTTTTTTATTTATAATGATTAACAAAGAAGATTAGATTAATTTTTGCAAAAAAAAAATCCAATAGACATACTAGATACCTAGCGAAATATAATAACTATTATATTTTTATTAAAACATGACATTTATTATTGTTATTAATTTGAATCAATATAGCTACTATGTAGTAATGTACCACGGAACTATGTGAGATGTGAGTATAGGTCTGTGGTAGCAATAGCTTAAATATTCGTTTAATTATTTTTAAAATGTTTTTGTGTATAGAAAATAATATACATTATACATAATGGAAACAAAAATTATACATTCTTTAAATCAATATTTTTTCAATAACAACAAAATAACTAAAACTGTAACTGGACAAATCGTTATTTTTCGTTTAAAATATTCGATCTAATGTGTATTGTCTGCTTCACATAACTCTTGCTCATTGCCATTTATAGGAAACCTTGTACCAAATGTTTAGGCTTTTTTAACTTGCAAATTAAAATTTAATCATATATAAATACGAAAAACCACTAAAAAAGTCTAAAATATCACATATCTATAAATAGTTTAAGATGAGTCAAATATTTATTATGCATTTAGTTGATTTACAAAAGTTATCATACCCTAACCCTCCTCCTTCACTGTTATATTTAATTATATTTTTTTATTATTGTACATGCTGAATGTACAAGATGTTTGGAATAATGGATACATTTCTGAAATTGTTAACATTGCTGTTATTAATAAATATGATTACTACAAAAAAAAAAAATAACCATAAATTCACGTTTTTGAAATATAAAACCAGATAATCTAAGATTGTTCACATAATATTACATGAACATAAGAGGAAAATATTTTCTAATATCCATGGCGTCGCCAATTTAATTTGGATCTATCAAATAATTATTTTTCTCAAATATAGGTTCTCCAAATGACCAAATACTAAATGAATTCGATTTATACACATATAGGTATTAGATATAAGACATGGGCATATGTTATTTTATATATCTGCGATATTATAGATAATTAAATATTATTACTGTATGTATATTTTATAGACCTCATAGTTAGTATGTGATATATGGTATAACTGTGGTTTCATAAGATAAGTGATAATAATAGATCCCGGATTGTTTAAAAATTAACAATTTGTTACATAATAATATACCCAGTGGCGTATTTTCAATTTTTTGTGGTGGGGGGGGGGGGGGTCTTAATATTAAATATAAGTTTATAAAATTATAATAAAATACATACGAGTTATGATTTAATAATGATATTATTTATATTATATTATATTTCACTATTATTATGAAAATAAATGTCAATTAATAGTTATTTTTAAAAATATTGTAATACAAACATTAAAAACACATAATATAAATTAATATAATTTTTTTTCTGGTGGGGGTTGGTCGTCGGGGACCCCCCCCCCCCCCCCGTAAATACGCCACTGAATATACCTATTTGTTTCTACTAATGTTTATATAGTTTCTTGAATTATTTTTTATTGTATTAGAGTTGTATCGTTTTCGCAGTTTTAATATCAATTCGGCATACCTACATTTTGATTCTATACCGGCTTATAATACGATTTAATACATAAAAATAAAAATAAAAACAATAAAATTCAAATCTTTTTCAAATTTTTTTAAAATGATTTCCAATGTTGTTCATAATGAAAAAATCTAAATATACATGGGATGGTGAAAAAAAACAATAAAATATACAATTTAAGATATGTTATAAAATTTAATTAAACTATCACTTTTTGGATGAGTATAGTATATCATTTTGTAATTAGAAATTTATAAACACTTTTCTTTTTATACCATAATTTAAAAAAAAATAATACAAGATTACTGATTTAAACGATAAAAAACAATGTTAATTATTTTGTAATAATTTAAATATAGTATTCATGGGAATTTAAAACTTTTACGTTTATTATAAAATTATAAAATGTATTATATGTATTGATATTTTTGATTTATATTAAGATATTATTTATTTTTAATATCAACCTATTTTAACAGTTTTACGATATTTAAAGAAAGATGTTATTAAATATTGTATTTTAAGCTGCGTACACACTTATAACATTTGCGCACTACGTAACCTAGACACACTATTCGTGACCTCACCATGCAATAACCTTTTGATGCGACTTGAATTTTCGGACAATGTTACACCTTTACGTCCATACATCTATTGCTGTTACGCGTAAATATTACAAGTGTGTACGCAGCTTTATAAGTTGATAAAATGTAGTATAAATATACATTATTATAATAGTTAAATAATAATAATTTAATAAAATGCAATTATTTTAGAAAAATTTATATCAATTTACTGCAATACTAAAAGTAAAATAAATGGCTTTAAAAGTTGTAGGTATCAAAGATTTTTATCATAGAATATACTTGGTAATATAGGCAGAAAAATTATCTCCGATCAGAATCATTTTTCGTTTATAATGATACATCAATGAGTTCAAATTTAACAAGCTCATAATAGTAACCCACTGTACAGCAAAGCGATACCTATTTGTCAACCTGTTATTTTTTTTAAATTCATAACTTTGTATTTATTTTCCCTTATTATATTACCTATACATACAAATCAGCTTGTATTTTTAAATTAGACACATGTGAAAATAAAAATATATTAAAACGTGTCTTAGAATACATACGAGAAAATATTGGAAAATTTAAAATATGATCGATAAAACTTGTACTTTTATTTCCAAAAATACCAATTTATACTTCAAATTTTTTCTGCTTTTGGCTTTTATGTATTTTTCATTATATTGTGCATTTATGCGGCTCGTAACTTCCTTATCACTGGCCACCTCTGCTTTATATGATAGTTAATTAAATAGGATAAATATATGTAAGAATATTTTAGTATAATGATTGAAGTTATAATCCTAAAACTATTCATATGATAATTAACTGGGTAATATTAAAAATTTTTTATCAAAAATTGAAACTTATTTTTTTTTAACTGTAAACATATAGTTAATTTTGATTACTGATTAGTGATTAATGATTATATTCAATTAATACGTACAACGTACGGTTGGGTCTTCTTGATAACCATCATCTCCAACTTCTGCTTCAAACATAGCTTGCCGCATATGAATGTCTGGTTTCGTAATCGTGTCACTTATTAAGTCAATAACTTTAATATGCTAAAAATCAATTCAATAATAAAATTTATATCAATTATGAATTGTTGTAATTGTATTTTAAGCATAATACTGTTTTTAAGAAACAATAATATGATAATAACTCCGCATTAAATGGATTTATATACACAAATATATTAAACAATATACAACTTAAAGTACTACTATCTCTAAAATTGCATGTAAGTTGTAACAGAATCCCATTTATCAATCCTAGAACTATTTAGAATATCTGAACTGAATGTAGCTTTTAATAAACAAACACTTATATTTGTAACGCCATTACTATCAAACATTAATTTTAAGTTATTTCATAACATTCCACTTGATACCATCTGACAAAAGGAATATCTTGATTAATGAACCTCAAGCAAAATATCAAACTATAAGTGATACAAATGAGTATTATTTCGGTTTAACAGAAAATTAATATGTTAAATGTAAATTATTATTTTCTTTTAAGTTATGCATAAGTCCTAAATCTATAAATAAACACACCTATAAAGAAAATTGTGAAATACAATTCTACAGAATATCAGTCAAAAATCTGTAAATTCAAATACATAAACATAAATTTAACAATCTGACATAAGTTATTTTTACAAAACACATATTGTAAATTAGAGACAATAACAGTAACATGTGAACAAGAATCTCGAAAATTTAAGTTACCTGGTATAAGAAAAATCACTATTCCCGATCATTGTAATACCGACAATATTGTGTTGACATTATCCAGAGTATTGGTCATAGAAACTCGAAGATATTTTGCTTCCAAAAGTAAAAATCTAGTCCAAATTATAAGACATAACGGAAAACTTTACTCTCCAAAATGTAGAAATAAAAAAAATATTACAGAGATTTTAATCAGTTAGCTTGGAATGCCAAACAAATAAATGAACTAACAAAAAAGTACAAAGATACTGCAGAAAAAATATTTGTAAAACCAAATCATCATCTTATAATCTTGTATATTATTATTATTTTATTTATTGCTATAAATTTGTATTTAATTATTAAGTACAGAAGTAATATACTAAAAGTATATTTACCAGAAATTGTAAAGTTCCAAGTTGTAAACGAACTAAATAGCCCCTGTTATATTTTTTTACGTGTTTAATAATTTATAATTATGTTTTAAAAAACGGCTGAATATTGTAAAAGACAGAGTACTACGTATTCCAATTTTTCTGAATACATCAAATTCCAGTACGATATGCGCAGCAGTGTCCAAGCGTCTCGATCAGGCCAGTCAGTCGTTGTCTAGCAGAACATAACCGTACGAATCTCACGAATTCATGTCAACTTAATTTGTTTTTACATTGTTAAAAATAAAGATAAAGTCGCTTAGTCCACTGAGTGTAATTATTTAATTTATCGTATAGAAGTACATAACAGTTGTATCAAGGTGAATATTATGGAAATAAATATT